GAGTACATGTGTGTACAGCATGTGTATTAGTAGGTGTGGATGTCAGAAGATAACTTTGGGTGTTGATCCTTAGGCACTGTCCACCTTCTTTTTTCCCTCCTTTTTTGAGAAGCATCCCTCACCATCCTGGAGCTCTCATCTAGAAGGCTAGGCTTGCTGGGTAGTCACCCCATGGCTCTGACTGCCTCCACCTCCCGAGATCTGTGCTTACAAGCACACTGCCACACCTGGCTTAACCAAACCAACAATAAAACTGACTTCTGGGGTTTAAGCTCAGGCACTCCAGCTTGCAAGACAAGCAATTTGCAGTCTAAACTACCTCCCCAGCCCTGCGTACAATTTTTATAATTAGCACATTCTACGAGCAATCTGAAGCCTGCTGATTTTTTCCTAATGTCATACAAGCATTTCCCTGTAGCCATGAGAAAAGCTCTCTAAAAAGCTCTATAATATTTCTTCGATGGATGTCTCCATAGCGTTTCCCCCAACACTGAATGTTTAGATTGCTCTCAGAGTTTGATAATATACTTTTATGAACACCAATTCATTGTTGGGTAGCCACTGTACTTAGTCCTGTGTTTGATCGATATCCATCTACTGTAGTGTGATCTGGAATATTCCTCCAAGGCCCAAGAAATCAAATCTTGGCCCCAGTGTGGCACAACTAGGACAGGAGAGAACATTCAGTGTTGGGCCTGAGAAGGAAGCTTGTAAGGTTGTAACTTGAAAGGGATACCAAAAACCTTGTCCCTCTCCTCTCTCTGGTACTTTTGCTGCTGACTATGAGGGGTTTTTTTTCTTCCTCAGATTCCTTACTATGATGTGTTCTCTTGCACCAGGCCCAAAGGCAGCAAGATGAAGGCGCCCCAGACTGACATCTCTGAAGCCATGGGCTGATATGAACCTTTCCTTTCCATGAGCTGTTTGTATCAAGTGTTTGTCTCTGAGACAGAAACCTGGTTGTCATGCATTGACATACGCTTCTGATGGCTGTCTTTGGCTCCACATTGTCTTTTGCCAGTGTGTAAGAAGACCACATTAGACGTGATAACTTTATGCGGATGAATGTATCAGACTCTTTGCTAATGAAGTTTTCAGTGCAGGGAAAAATGAAGAGAGTGGGCCGAGGGTGGGAAGGAGGGAAGGTTGGAGCACTCAAATGATTTTTTTCTATTTTTACCACCCAGAGTGAGGGGCACACCCATCCCTGCAAGCTTTGATTCTTACAGCCCGTCAGTAGAATTAAAAGATTCCTCACTACTTTTCGCTCCAAATACCCCTATTTTTAGCCTTTAGATGTAGACAAGTGTGGAAGTCCTATCTCTCACTTCAGCATAAATAGACTTTTTTCCCCTTTCTGTCTCTCTCCAGCCCCTCCCATTGCGTGTAGCTGTTCTCTATTGTCATGACTCATTCTAGAATTCTGTCCTAGCTACTCCAGTCCACAACCCTGGGATCTCTGCAATGTTCCTTTACAGCGTGGGTCACTGGTCCCCAGTTCTACAGCTTTCTTCTGTGTTCTTTTTCCACACTCTGCCCATGAACAATTTTTCTTAAATTTGATAAAGTCATGGCTGACTGTGCACGTCTACTAAGAGAGACAGAGAAAGAGAGGGAGAGAGACAGGGAGGGAGGGAGGGAGGGAGTGTCTAGGCTGTTAGGCATACATACAGCAGCTCTCAGAGTCCCAAGGGTCCTTGTAGAGGAAGGAGGAAGGAGACACTCAGACTATGTGTACGAAGGGAGATTGATTTGTGTCATCTAAGAGGCCAGCCACAGCCAGAGGCCAGCCACATAGCCAGGTCAGTGTTGGGATGGATGGTAGGTCCTGGTTTCAGGCAGTGTAGCGGGAAAGGAAACAAAGAGATTCCAAGAAGAAAATAACAGAATGTCCAAATGTTCCCAAGACTAGACCTAAGTTAGAAGAAGAAACACCAAGTTCCTTTCATTTATTCCACATATATCTACAGAGTATCAAGTAAATGCCTGGTACTGCTCTAGACACAGGGGTTGGTAGTAGTGGACTTGCATTCTTACGGAGAATACAGATGATAAATCATTAGACAGCTAATATATAAGCAATGATAAGTATGAAAGGGAATAATAAGAAAAGGGGAGGGCCACAGGGAGTTCCTGGGTACAGAGGAGACAGGAGACTGATGTGGAGACATCTAAAAAAAAATCTGAAAAAAGGTGTGAGATCAAAGTTTCCTATGTTGGCAGTGGTAAAGTGCTGGTGACAGGGATAGAGAACAGGAAAGGAAGGGAGATGCAGATGAGATGGTAAGCACAGGAGCAAAGATGCCAGCTCTGGACATTCTGGGGCTGAGGCATCGAAGGCGTCTTCCAGTGGCGATGTGCAGGACAAGGGAGATCCTATGTCAGTGGGGGTGTTCCTTGATTTAAGGTATGTGCAGAAGGAGCAGCCAATGTTATAGAGGAATAGTAGAGGAAGAAACAGGAAAATGAAACACGCTGTAAAAACCTAAAGGAAACAGAAACTTTCAAAGTAGTTAAAAATAAAAAATAGTTTAAAAGATCTTCTAGGATTTGGCCATTTGGAAGGTCTTCAGTGGACTCTGTGAGAGCAGATTTGTGGAGATATTGGGAAAGAGACATCTTTATCCTCAGGATAAAAGGACGAGAAGGAAGGAGCCAGGGAAAGGGAGCATTGGTTCTAGCAGTGGGTGACAGCAGAGAATGTGATACGACAAAAAGGAAGGAGGAAGAGGAGGAGGAAAAGGAGGAAGAGGAAGAGGAGGAGGAGGCAAGTTTGAAGGAGAAGGAAGCCTGAAAGTGGTGTTCCTACATGTGTTTTCTTTATTGTTATTTACATGCTGATTTTTCAGAACTGGGGATGGAACCAGGGTCTTGTGCATGCCAGGAAAGTGTTTGACACTTGACCTGCACCCCAACTCTTTGTGCTTCTGTTTTGATATGATGGTGATGTTCTCTGGTCATAACATAAATTAAATTAGTTGTCAATTCCTGCTCACAGCCTCTGTGATCTTATACACTAACTCAATGTAACACTGTTTTTGACAAACAAACTTGGTATAGGTTCTAGTATAGTGTCTCTATTTAGGCCTGGTTTCCTATTTCTATTATTAAGGAGAACCCTGTCTTAGTTAGGATTTCTTTTGACATGAAGAGACATCATGATCACGGCAACTCTTACAATATTTAATTGGGGCTGGCTTATAGTTCGGAGGTTTAGTCCATTATCATCATGGTGGGTCATGGTGTCATTCAGGCAGACATGGTGCTGGAGAAGTAGCTCAGAGTTCTACATGATCCACTGGCAGCAGAAAGAGACTGTGTCACTAGGCCTAGCTTTAGCATATGAGACCCTCAAAGCTCACCCCCACAGTGACACATTTCCTCCAAGAAGGCCACACCTCCTCCAAAAAAGCCACGCCTCCTAGTAGTGCCACTCCCTCTTGGCCAAGCACTGAAACACATGAGTTTATGGGGGCCATTCCTATTCCAACCAG